GAGAAGGTGACCATCTGCAAGCTAAGGAAAGAGACCTCAGAAGAAATAAAACCTGCCAACCTTGATCTTGGACTTTTAGCTTCCAAGACAATGAGAAATATATTTCTATTTTTAAGGCACGCAGTTCTTTCTATTTGTTATGGCAGCCATAGAAAATTAATACTGATATCATTTTAGTGAAATAAAATTTCATACTTTAAATATCTATGGATATATCTGGAATATTAATAACTTTGTAAGGAGATGTTTGTGCTTATTTGTATCTTCTATATTCTCTCTTATGAAGGCACATCATTCATATAATTTTAAAGGTTTTAAATAGGCCTTAACTGCTTATCTTCAACCTCTCCTCCTTTTGGACATGTTAAATCTGATTTTTATAACCACATTTCTAATTGGCCACAGCAGATTTCTCAAATCTAGTTTCAGGGAATAAAAAGTAGTTTTTACTTTAGCTCACAGACTTTTCTTATAGCAGTCCAACTTGTTGGTGTTCTTTGCCCTCTCTTTGTATGGTATCAAATATAATGTGACCACAACTAAATATATTGGGTCAAAAGAACTTATGTAGACTGTTTCTTAGCATCTCTTAAAATTCTGCTCAATAGGTTTCCGAATCAATACATCTGGTCTAGAGATTAGGACCATACTTGGTGCATCAGGCTATCCAAGCATGAATTCTATACATTTAACTTTATTATTAACACTATAATTCTTTCAAACAAAGAAAGTGTACTTAGTTTAAATGAAGCCTCCCTGGGTGAAAAGGATCAACATAATATAGAGAATCCTTCTGTCATCACATTTATAACAACAACAATTAGATACATCAAGGAACAGATTAGGGGTCAGATAGCTTTATTTGTTATCTTTTTTTCAGTATTCTATCTTATTCCACACCATTATTTGGAAAGAAAATTAGATACTACAATATTTTAGTTATCCAAGATGCAGTTGATATTTTTTCTCCGTATCTCTTTATGTTGTGGATGATAATTGTTCATAAAATTCTAACAGAAAGTGAAGGAATAGGTTCCATTTCTCATATTTGCTCCTTACTCAAACTCCAGGAAAAAATCCAAAATGCTACTCAGTGAAATATATTCTACAGGGGATGAGGTTAGAGAGATGTCAAGAAAAATTTGGCCAAATGCATAGTTTCTGATGGTTTATCATAATCCAATAATAAAATTGAGAAGACCATTCAGATGATTTGTCAGGAAAAAAATACCCGAATTTAAAGCACATAGAGTATTATTTCTTCTGTTTTATCTGTGGTACTAAAAGTATGCCATGGCAGTGCTTGCATAAGAAAAGGGGAAAATATGCAAAACTCCCAAACCAAGCCAAATAAGCTGTAATGTGCATTTTGAGAACATGTGTTTGCAGTAACAAAAAATGACTACCCCAGAATGAAAGAAATGAGAAAAACCCAAAGGGATTTTCAAGATTAAACTATAATTTGTAGAGGAAAGCATGCTTCACAAGATGCTCTAGAAGACTATGGAGGTGGGAAGAGGCTTGTTACAACCAGCATGAAGAACACACTAGAAAAGCAGGCTAGTAAGGAATGTCATTCTGATGACTGTTATGAGATTTCACATACAGAAGTACCAGTTAAAACAGGCTCTTGGAGAGGGGTAGCATGTAGCGATAGAGATAGGAAAAGACATAGGGACACACACACACATGCACACACACACACACACAAACACACACACATATGCTCATATAATATAAATCTAGGCATCCTAAGCACACATTAAAATTTTCTAGTATACATCCAGCTGTCTGACTATACTATCACATACTAAATTACAGTAGGTAAAAATTCCTATTGAGGATCATCATTCACTTTCCACATCCCAGAGCAGTAAAAATAGTTTATGTCTATATAGATACATAAGTAATCTATTTCATTAGGAATGATCGATCCATTTAATAAAACAGGAATTTAGCTCATTTTGAGATTATAATATTAAGCCTTTCAATTGACTATTTATTGTAATGACGTAAAATAAAAAAAATTCTATATGTATAAATAAGTCCATTTTGAGATATTTCAAAGAATGAAAATAGCCTATTCATAGTACTTATATTGCTTGTTATTATTTTCTTTAGAGAGGAGACTTTCTTGAAGCACTTAATGAACATTTACACACACAAACACACACATAATTTATTTATATAATGTGTTTTTATTTAATTTTTTTTTTCACTGACAGATTCTCAATTCCTAAAATAGCATTGGGGAGATAGTAGGTACTCAATAAATATTGTTGAATGAATGATTTGGTCTAACACTAATAGTAACAATGAATCTATAAATAAGAGTAGATCTTACTCTGAATAAGCAGAATGACAAGGAGGGAAAGGATACAAATTCTTCTTCTTTCACTATCAATACTTGAGCAATGTGATATTAAAAGGAATTGTAGTCATCATTTATTTATGCACTCAACATGTTTATGGTAGTTCTATTAGGTGTAGTGCATTGAGCTAAATATTAAAGCTGTTTTTGCAGTAAATTTCAAGTAATCCATCTTTGATATAGTCTACCTGATCCAAATAATCAGATTTCTAATAACTCTACCTTTATAAGATTGAAGCAAAATTAAAACTGAAAAAGCTCATATGCAGCAATTATTTTAAAAAGAGAGAATTATACTCTTTCAACAATTTCTGGGGCCATCCCCATTCTATAGTTTCTCATTGGATAACTGTTACTGAAGTTCTAAACAAAACCCTGTATAGAAACACTTGTACATAA